CACAGCGAGGCCTCCCCCCCAACCCCGCAGCCCCCCCCATACCTCGTATCCTTTCAGCGAGGGCCCCACCAGCACCACGGGCCGCATGGAGGGCACCACGTCGTAGGGTGGGATGTGCTGCGTCTGCGGGTGGACACGGGGAGGGGTCATGCCCTGGTCTCCCACCCCCAACCAGGAAGGGGTTGATGAGCCTATTTCACAGAGCCCCGGTGCCCTGGAGTCCCCCCCCGGCCCCATAACCGGAGCAGAGGGGGTGTCTCTGCCCCCACCCCACCCTTGGCCCTGCCTGCAGCCCCCTGCCCATCTCCCCCTGCCCGGGGCACTGCCCTGTGCCCGGGACTCACCTGCTTCTGCTTCTGCTTGGCTTGAGGAGAGGAGAGGAGAGAAGAGACAGAGGTTGGTGACAGTAAAGTGAGGCCCCCCCTGGATCCCCCTGGATCCCTCTGGATCAAGACCTGCCCTTACCTAAGGAGGGGGGAGGCGATCGCCGGCTCCCGCTGTCGCCGAGGCCCGAGGCGTTGCCAGCTCTCCTGAGGGAGAAGGGGGTGAGTTGGGCGGCCCGGGAGGGATCCAAGGGGAAAGCGGGGTCCCATCCCTACCTGGCTTTTTGCTCCTGCTTGAGCCTCATGGCTTCCAGGCGCTGGGGGCTGGGGATGAAGGCGATGTCCCCCCCCTCCTTCACTAGGCGCCCGATCCACCAGTCATTGCTGTATTTCTGGGGGAGGACAGGGCAGGGGTGAGACTGGGGTGGGGGGACATCCCCGGCCCTGTTTCCCCCCTCGCTTCAGCACCCCAATCTCACCTCCTTGATGTGCAGGAAATCTTTGGCTTCGAAGTTGATGGCGGCTCCCTGCACCGGGCACTCCTCGTCCAGCGCCCCACAGTAGCTGACATTGGTGCGCACGGCGAAGGCGACTGGCTTGTGCTGGGGGGGGGCGTTGGGGGGGTAAATCAGCACCTCCAGGCCCTGCCAGTCCACCCCCCGGGTGTCCTCCCACCCCTACCTTGGCCCTCTCAAGCTGCTGCTGGGCCTGGCTCTCCACCTCGCGCCGGGCACCCTCACGGTCCTCTTCCAGGGACACGTCGGAGTCCAGGGACGGGCGGCTGGTGTAGGAGTCCGCCGAGCCCTGGGGGGACGGGGCTGAGTGCCGGGGGGCTGCGGGGGGGG